GCATTTGAAGTACACTTCGAATTGGGACAGCCGTCGTCGCGTGGCGGTGACGTAATCGCACTTAAAATGCGTACTTCAAGCGTGCAGACCCTGAATTGGGACACAGCCCATAGTTTTGCGCTACAGGCCCCCGGAACCATTTGTTAGGTTCCTACAGGAAGTAGAGCATTGTCGGATGCATTCCGAGGTGGAACTAAGCTTACTTCCGTTTGTCATTCAGCTAGAGAGCTGCTGGATCCACGGTGTGTCACTTGTCAGGTATTTAAAACGCAGTAACGTTCTCTTTTTCTCTTTAAAAAGTCTTGATACGTCAGAACAAGGAAAGAAATGAGATTCGTAATCACAACATAGGAAAAGAAGGTGCCGGAGGGTTTGTTTGCTGGATGTGTGTCCGCACAGGGTGAGCGGGGATGTAGCTTAGCCAGCTAATGCACTGGTTATTCATTTCCTTTAGGACCCTACACTACTCTGTAGCTCTGCTAATATTCATATAAAATATAAGCTAAACGACTCACTCAGAGATGGCAGACTGTTTTTTAATTTTTAACATTTTAAATTCCAGTGAGGAGTTGATATTAAAATACTTTTACAGTAAAGAAGTAAACGCTGGCTAAGGTTTAAATGGTGCTGAATGAACCAAAAACCCAGTGACGGTAAATACAGCAGATATTATTAAACTGTAACTGATAGTAATTCAAACCCGTAAATGAGCTATTTCGAACTTTTTGTCTGCTGCGGGCGTGAGCAGCTTTTCTGCGTTTTAAATCGCTATCGTATCATATATAATTAAAGAGATGTTTTCTCTTGTTTTCTAACACAGTAAGTGGTTTTACTGACTTAAACTAATGCAATTGTTTCCCCCAGTCTTTTATCATTCTCTCTCTTTCTCTCTCTGCAGGAAGCTGCATTTTGTTACGAGACATCATGACACTTTTTCACTTTGGGAACTGTTTTGCTCTGGCCTATTTTCCGTACTTTATAACCTACAAGTGCAGCGGCCTGTAAGTGTCTGTGTGAATCAGTCAGTAATGCTTGACGGTATAAGATTTAAATGCAGTTACAAGTAACACACTCATACATGGGCTCACATAGACCCTTCTTTCACATTCTTCTTCTTCTTTGTGGTAACATATGCTGCCAGACTGGGAAGTGTCTGCTAATAATCTTCTTAGAAATGTTCGAGCTTTTGGAGAGGGTCCACATAATCCTCTTAGACCTGCATAGTGTGCATAGTACGTTCATTAAAGGCATAATGTAAACCCTTTCTCTCACCATTACTGCATGGATATATTAAAGCTCTGTTCGTTTAATTCAGGCATGTCAAATTCACTTTAAATCATGTGCTATATTCAGCCCACTTTGATTTTAAGCAGGCTGGACCAGTGAAAGTACATTTCATACATACATAAAATTACAGAATAATTTCTATTAGTCGATTGCCAAGACTAATTATAAAAAATAAGTTTCATTAATTTACAGAAGTTTTTTATTTTTAAAACCGTGGCCTCATTGTTTGTTTGGTTTTTTTTAAAACATAATATAATAGATGGTGGAAAAACAGAAACCTTTGTCTATTAATTGTTTGTCTGTTAATTTCGGGGTGTCAAACATATGGTACGAGGGCCAGATCCCTGTCTGCTCCAGGAGAAACTGAACAGGAT